CATAACAGAAGCTCCTTTCTGCTATTAACCAGCTTCCATCCACGTATGCCCCAAATTCCTATCTGAATTGTAGGTTATTGGTAAAAGTGTCTTAAAAACTGCAGAACTCCCGCTTTTCCCTGCAGTCGGTACGGGTGAGAGGGGAGCAGTCAATCTTCTCATCTGTAGGGTTTGCTTCTCTGGTTCGTTTCTGTCGGTCCTGACTGCGCCAGTCCCTGTGACAGCAAGGGGCCGGTTGAGGGCAGCCCTTTCTCTGCCCCATGGTGGTTCATCCCAGGCTGTGCAGGGAGGACACCCATCAACTCTGTGCTGCCAGAGCCCCAGTTCTCGGCTCTGAATCCAACGGTTATAGCTGAAGAATGCAAATTCAAACCCATGCAGGGAATAAGCAGCTGGGGATGTAACTTGTGTGTTCAGAGGGAGGAACTCCTCAGTATAAGGGGGGGAAAGACCCCATTTCCACCTTTCAGTGCCACAATCACTGTGCCATGAACATGCTTAGTGCTGCTCAGAGGAGGCATTTTGTCCTCTGCCAGTCAGCTAGGTAAGCTTGTTTCACTAGATCATGAAAGAGTTCTAGAAAGCATGAGCCCTCCCAACTTGCTAATACTACATGAATACCTTGCACTGTTGTCTCCCTTGAGAAAGCTGCTCAACTGTTTGTTCAAGGAGTAATTCAGCTGAATGTCTCCAGCAGGAGCTATTTACCAGGGTCTCCTGGTAAGGACACTAACCTGGACAGTTCAGCTTAATGGTTGCTTTTTAGGAGAGAAAACTAGTCTGAAAGAACTGATGCCAAATAGAAGAGCACTGATGAATGATAAACCAATGATTTCATCATCTTGAAGGGAAAATGGCCAGTGTAATAGCAAGATGTGCTGCTGCTGAAGGAAAGGAATCAGTTGGGGGGTAGGTTGGAGGGAAAGCCAGCAGTTACAGTTGGGTCATATAGAAAGCTTGCTTTTTAAAAGGTTTTGCAAGAGGAGTTTTTTTACCTCAAGTGTTCACTGTGCCCATCTCTTCATAGCAAAACTAGTCTGTCCAGTTACAGATAAGCAGCACAGGTACTTTTTGCTCAGTTTCACTGCAGGTCTTGTAATGGTTTTAGACTACATCAAGGCAGCCAATCTCAGATACTTTAACTGCTGGTGGTGTTCATAGTATTTATAAATGGAATGACAGAAACTACTCCTGTGAGTAGCCCTTAAGTTAGCTTTCTCAACTTGTGTCCTGTCTAAGGAGCTGGATGACAACCTGGTCTGAAATGCTGACTGACCAGTTTCCTCTGTGAAAATCAAGTCCCTTTTCCAGCAAAAGACCCCAGAAAAGGAACTGATATTGTCCCTTGCAGCAGAAATGTTTTGGTACTAAAGGGGCATGGTCAGGAGGAGGGCATTAAAGGTATTTCCAGGCAGCACAATATGCAGACTTACTGTGAGTCCTGATGCAGAAGATTCTGGTTTCCTACCTATGCTGCTGTGTTTGTGCATCTCCCAAAAATCCCATGACCTCTCCCCATGGCTGAGAAGCTCTCACAAGCAGGATATCAGCTGTCAATTGGCTCTGCAAAGTGTTCTGGAATTCATTCTGAATATATTTTTGCTTTCTATGTGGAAAAAGAAGTATAAATTCTCATTTTTATGCTGTATTTTGTACCTTAGTTGTGTTTGAAAATGTTTTGATTTTTGGAAACAATCAAAATAAAACAATGGCATCTTTGTATCCACCTGGCGTGTGTGAGTGGTGACACTCCCCAAGCAGGCTGCTGGTTACTGCTCCTGTGCCACCTATTGACAATCCTCTTCATGAGGAAGAGTCCCCAGCTCTGGGCTGCCTGCATGTGGCAGTGCTTCTCCCCGGGGGGGCAGCTTGAGGCTTTTGAATACCACTTGATTCTACCCCACTGCTCCCCTCCTCAGCTCTAACAGGTAACAGCACCCACTAGAATTGTTACACAACAGGCTTCAGACCACTGTAGTTATCACAAAGTTTATTTGCCATTGGCTGCTTTCTTCAAGTTCCTGGGTTTTCGATGATGACTCTTGAATTTCTTCTTTAAAGGGCCTGACTGTTTCTGTAGAGAAAAATAAGTTAATCAGCTGATTTCCAAACCCCCAAGACAGCTTAGAGAAACTGAGTGTGCTTTCCTTCACCAAGTGACAGAGCAGAGGTCTTTCCCTGCCCCTACCCTGCAAGTTTGCATCCCTTTCTCTGACAGGCCTCTGGTTTCATTAGATACTCTGTGTAGCGATGAACCCAAATTTCACCCAGCCTCAACTCTCCGGTTTGATACAGTTACAAAGGATCTAGCCCCTTCCTCAGGGAGTTAAAGGTTTGTCCACCTTTTAGGGAACATCTGTCTCCTTCCCAATCTGGGAAAGTATATTCTTGCAAGGCAAGACCTGGCCAGCTCCTCAAGAGGCAGAAAAAGGGCTTAGAAGGACCCTGTGCCTTCAAAGGGTTTAATTTGTGTTTGTGTGTGTAAGGGACACACTTCAGTCTCTCTCTTAGGCCAGTGTGCAGCAGGATCCTGTCAATGGCCTCTTTGGACGGGCAGGAACAATCCTAGTGACTGCAGACAGGGTGAATTGCTGGTGGCAGTTCACAGCTCGGGGGACAGCCAGGGGGTGGCACATGGGGAAAAGTCATTCTGAGTAACTCTGCACCTTCTGCTGGTTCTCAGACAGGAACAGATCAAACATGTACAGGATGGGATCCCAGCTGAAGGCTCCCCTACTGCTGCATGCGGCGCGACTCACCTTTCCCCGTTTGTTGCCACTGGCTCTGCTGACACCTGCTCTTCCACCATCCTCTCTGTTCATGTCACCATTCTGCTTGATCCCATCATCCTCGCTGTCTGTTGCAAAGTCATCACTGCCCTTTGTGGTTTGTGGAGCCGCTGAGCTTTTTCTTGGAAAGAGTGCAGCTAAAATACAAATACTTAGCTCAGCATCGGCCCCCTGTGGCACAGGCTTCCCCCCGACTTTACGCTGAGGACATCTTAAAAGCAATTTCCAAAGATGTTTCCAGTCACTGAGCTCGTATGTGTCACTACTGGAATACTTGGGAAATAAACATGCTGGTTTATGAGGAGTGTGCTGGTGCTCTCACTCATCCCACTTCAGGGACTGCTCAGCACAGGCTGTTCTGGGGTGTCATCCCTGTCCCTCCCACAGCCAGGCAATACCCACAGCTTCTCTGAGACTCAAGGATTTGCTAGGAAATGAGGAAAGCAGAGATACCTAAAGCAGTAATCGCAGCGGATCCTGGATCCCTCCCCTAGCACCTTATGTGATCCAGCTCTGGTTATTACTTAGTGGTAACTGCAATTTCTTCTCTGGTGGTAGTAAGCTTTACTGAAACCCAAGAACTCCATGCCTCTGGCATGTAAGCAACAACACTATAAAGAAGCTGGGAGAAAATCCCTTCAAAAAACTCCCTTCAGGACACAGATGATAGTGATGTTCTCACTCACATGGGTACAGGTCACTCATGCTGTCGTCTGTCTCCTCTCCATCCTCATTGCTGGACTGTGGCTCCCAGAATTCCTCTTTTCTGTAAGGCTGCCTGCTCCTGTTCATTTGGTCATCAGAGTGCTGCATCCACCGCTGCTTCTGTCGCAGGCACGCCGGGATGTACTCCACTCCTTCCTTCTGGCACTCCTCATCTAAGAGAGCAGCTCTTAGGAAGGCCACCCTACCACCTCAGGCCTTTCCATTCCCAGCTCCTAGCTTGCGCTAAATGCAACTCAAAAGCAAGTCAACCTCCAACTCTAATATACATTCATGTAATCTACAGCAATGCTATGGACCATAATAGAGGGGAAAGACGTTTACACTGAGCCTGTGCTGGAGAAAACTGCCCTCTCCAGTAAGGATGTTCCAAGGTATTTGCTAGAGGCCAATTGCTCCCTGCATCTGGGATCTTCCTCTGTAGCTGAGGAGCACACACAGCAACAGCAGCACTCTACTGTCAATCTAAACAAAACTGACTCCCTTCACACAGATCTAGTGGAATCTCAAAAGTTCAGAGAAAAAAACTCCTCTGCTTGTATCTTCAGAAAAGCTACTTACATGTTTTGAGGGCCTTCTGATAGCGCCTCCCCTGGACATGAGACAGCACTTGCTCTGGGTACTTGTTGATGTGCCTGAGAGTCAGCTTGCAAAACAGCTGGTGCCTGACAAAGGCAGAAACAAAGAGCAAGCAAGAGTTTAAGTTTGCTATTTCGCAGTAACTTCTCACTTACAAGGCCTGTGCTCAAAGTTAATAAATATTTTATAAAGACTTTTCCAGTCTCCGAAAACCCACAGACTCAAGAACCTTTGTAAAACTCCACCACTGTATGTCTGAGATTGAACAAAGCATAAGCATATCACACAGGGGGAAGAATACGTACAGGTTCTTTGTGCTGGGCACTATATGGGGCTCAAACACGCTGTAGTCAAACTCTCTGGCTGTCTTTATCAGCCGCTGATACTTCTTGCCATTAGTGTAAGCCTGCAAGTCCGACAGCCGACACAGCATCTCGTGTCCCGTCAGCCTGCACCGCACCTGAAGGAAACGTCTGGTCAAGGAAGCGCAGGGGGTACCCAGCGCTGGGGCACACCCCGAGCCCCCACCAGCGCCCCTCTCCCGGCCCGCGCCCAACCTCCACACTGAGACAAAGCCTCTGGGCCCGGAGCTCACTGGGTCGAGCCCATGCGCCGCGGTTCCCCCAGCTCGCTCAAGGGACCCGGCCCCGGCCCCGGCCTCCCCTTGCAAACCCCTCCGAGAGGCAGCCGCGATCCCCCACAAGGCTCCAGCCCCACCCGGCCCGGCTGCACGAGGCTGAGCAGCGGATGCTGCAGCAGGAAGAGCCGCTCCGCCTCGGGCACCTCAGCCCCAGCGCCCGCAGGCCCCGCCGCGCGCTCCGCCATGCCGGACCAGCGCGCCCCACTTCCGGTGCCGGAACCATAGAGAGGAGCGGAGCCCGCCCGCGCCGGGACCTGCGCGACCGGAGCATGGCGACGGGGAGGCTGCTGCTGCGCGCGGGGCCGCGGGTGCTGCGGGAGCGCCGGGGGCGGGTGAGGGGAGCGGGGAGCGGGGCGCGGGGCCTGGGCCGACGGCAGCGGGACCCGGGGGAGCGGGGCTAGGGTTGGGCCTGGGGAAGTGGGGCAGGGCCGGGGGGAGCGGGGCCGGGCTGAGCCGCATAAGGCCCCCATCTCGTCCGTGCCCCGTCCCCCGCCGTGCTCGGCGCTACAGAAGCGCGCGGCCGAGCTCGCCCTTTCCGTTGCCGGGGCCCGAGGCCTGGCTGCGGTGCGCTGGGGAGCCCCCGCGGAGGGTGAGGGCCCCAGGTTCACCGCGTGGGACGCGGCGGTGCTGCAAGCGCGCGGGAGCGGCGGCAGAAAGGCTGTAAATGTGCCCCCGCGCCGCTGCAGCCGGGTCGGAGGGCAGGTGCCGCGAGTGCAGTGATTGCAAAACCGAGTTAGGCTGGTGCGGGTGTGCGCCCACGGCGTGGGTGGGAAGGGAAAGCTCCTGTGCTGTGCTGTGGCCGGCTCCATCACTGCAATTTGATTTTGATAAATAAGCATATTTTGTTATAACCTCACCAGTAGTGTTTCACAGGCAGGCAGTTGCTCAGATGAAACTTAAATTCACGGGTAAACAAAATTTCATGCCCCATTGAGCAAATAATATCATCTAGATACAAATTCTACAAAGCAGAGGCACAACAAAGGATCTTTCTTGTCTTTCATATTTCATATAGATATCACACTGCTCGATCAGAAGAACTTTTTTTGGATATCCCCTAACTAAAGCAGGTTCTGGTCTGGTCCAGCAGACTAAAGGTAAGGTGTGGGTTTCTGTTCTGTTTCAGCCTCACACCAAGAGGTGACATTTCTTGCAGGAATTTGGCATCTCTTCTCCTGTACAAATCCTGATCCTCATTCTGTTTTCCTCAGGTGTTTTTTTGAGGTTCTGCAGACCACAAAGTTCTACAACAGCTGCTGATGCACCTGGAGAAGATTCCTTACTTAAATGGGGTCTTCTCCTGGTCCCTCTGAGCACATTCTGTCTCGGCACATGGCAGGTACAAATAAATATTCATTTTTTTCTAGAGATAAGCACTTGAGGGCTGTCAGCTTGTTCCATCTCTGGCTGTTTAATCTAGTTCAAATCTCGTAGGGGAAAGATTTGCTGTTAATTTAAATTTCTGTTTTCCAAGTGTCCATTTGAAGGTCTTTAAAGGAGAGATTCTTATTTTTTACACTTTTATTTCAGTGTAAATATTTCCTCAAATTCAAGTCAGTAGCCTCTATTTTCATATCTCCGATTCCCCTGATCTAGGCAAGGTCTGACAAGAAACTTGTGGCAAAGGTTTTCAGGCTGACTGGGGTTACTGCATTGCTCTGCTCCACCCTGAGGAGTTACTTTTCTGTTTGTGTACTTTCAGGTTCAGCGACGAAAGTGGAAATTAGATTTGATTGCACAACTGGCATCAAGAATTACATCAGAGCCTGTCCCTCTGACATTAGAGTATGGAAGCTGTCACTGTCTGCAGAGCACTGACAGTGTGCTGGGGATAGTAGAAGCGATCCCTGCACTAATGAGCTTATTCTAAATTAAACTGCATTAAAATGAAGGCATCCGACGGGAATCGGAATGTGCAAGCAAATTAGAAAGATATCCTGTTACTTATTTATAGTAAAAGAATAAGTGAATGCTTCCCTGTGGGATACTGCAAATGCAAGTAAAAAGCATGAATGTCTGTTCAGGAGAATGTGATATGTATTTCATACCGTATGTAGTCCTCCTGGAGAAGGAGGGCTTGGTAGCTGGTATCTGTGATGTCCCAGGGGAATTATTCCTGCCACAGGAAGTCTTGGATAGCTGGCCCTGCCCCAAGCAGGGGCAGTTGTGTCAGATATGAGATAAATTTTTCAGGTCACGGGCATATGGCACAGCTGTAAAAGAGTTGAGTTGTTCTGTGTCATGGTCTCAGATAGGAGAGCAATGCTCCCTGTTGGCTGGACATATGTGTACTGTGTCCACCTGCTGATCAGCCGCATGTGGGTTACAGGTACCACGGAAAAGGACTGCGTTCTGCCTGCTCATGAGCATCTCAGTTTGATTCACTGGGACAGTAATAAATGTTAAGTCAGATGGTTATTCCATGAGGTGTTTATCTTTTGTTTCTGTTTGTCAGCTGTCTCTAGAGTGAACCATTTGGGAAAAGGAAAATCCCACAGGAAAATCCCCTACTTTGATTTACCTGTCGCAGCCATGATTTTATTTTCATCTTTTTCCATGCAGCCCCATGGAATTGAAGGAGTTGGAGTACAGACCCGTAAAGGTCCGGGGCCATTTTGACCACTCCAAGGAGCTCTATATTTTGCCACGGTCACTTGTGGAACCTGAGCGAGAAGCCAAAGCAGCCACACGGCTCATGTCCCACCCGGAGAATGGCGCAAATGTCATTACTCCTTTCTACTGCACAGACCTGGGGTAAGTTAATGAAAGTCTTGGCTCATGTGAGCAACTAGCTTCTGTTGTGAAAAGCTGAATCGTAGTGGTTGGGTTTATAGAAATGGCTCCCTCTCCCTTAAAAGGCATCTCTCAGTCTCTTTGGTCACTGAGGCTTGATTTGAAATTGTATTTAAATTCCCCTATAATGTGCACTCAGATGACAAAAACGTGGCACTAAATGTATGGGTTCCTTCTTTCTTTCATACTTCGTTCTAGGCAGCAGCAGCAGGAATGAATTTCCTTCCACTCATGAGCCGTATTTCTTTATGTAATTCTAGGGTCACGATTTTAGTCAACCGAGGATTTGTGCCCAAAAAGAAATTGAAACCGGAGACCAGGCTGAAGGGACAGGTAAGAGGGACACAGGGACCAGGCCTGTTACTCTCTGCCCCCTGGTTACACAGAGGCACTACAGAAAAATCAAGAAAGGCAGCAGCCATGTTCAGCATCATTGGGGTTTACTTATGGTAGTCATTGTGCTTTTCAAAGAAGGCAGACCTCTTCTTCCCACCTTTGTGTTATGTAAATGCGTTTTACAAACGTTTTTACAAACAAAAGGAGCTTGATCTGCTTTGTTTCCCTGCTGTGTTACAGCAGTGCCTCACTGTAGGGCACAACTACTTTATAACCAGACCTCGCGAGTGACGAATTGTTCTACCAGGACTTGGTATGCCAGAAAATGAAATAAATCTTGCAAGATTCCTTTTTTTTCCCCTCTGCATTCCACATTTCAGATTGAAGATGAAATTGATCTCACCGGGGTGGTGAGGTTATCAGAAACCCGAAAACCTTTTGTGCCTGAAAACAACATCGAGAAGAACCGCTGGCACTACCGCGACCTGCAGGCTATGGCAGAGGTGACGGGTGCTGAGCCCATCTTTCTCGACGCCGACTTCAGTAAGTCACAGAGAAACCCAACCACACATCCAGTTTCCATCGGTCTCACTCCCTTTCTGCTCAGTTATTTCCCCTGAGCACTGGGAAAGGCAGACTCGTAGGATGATTTAGGTTGGAAAAGACTTTTAAAATCAAGCCCAGCAAGGTACTGTATTTTTGTCTGTGTACTCTGCTAGGTCTGCTATTTTCAAGGTTATAGAGGCCTACAAGAAACTTGGAGACTTTTTACAAGGGCAGGTAGTGACAGAACAAGGGGAATGGCTTTAACCTGCCAGAGGGGAGATTGAGATGAGCTCTTAGGCAGAAGCTCTTCCCTGTGAGGGTCCTGCGCCGCTGGCACAGGGTGCCCAGAGCAGCTGTGGCTGCCTTATCCCTGGCAGTGTTCAAGGCCAGGCTGGACAGAGCTTGGAGCAAGCTGCTCTAGTGAAACGTGTCCCTGCCAGTGGCAGGGGGTTGGAACTGTATGAGCTTTAAGGTCCTTTCCAACACAAACCATTCTACTACGCTGGGCAGCCAGCGCTTGGAACGGCAACATGCTCAGCAGAGGTGCAGGTGGTGGTCAGTGCCTTGAGCACAACCAGCCCCTTGCCACCTGCCCTACAGCTCTCGCTTTGCTGCTGATTTGGGAATACCATAACCTGAGGAAGAGGAGCACTGTCTATGTAAATTAACGCCTTCACACCCCGCAGCAAGGACAGCTCTGCATGGTGCAGGTATAGGTTTAACTCCTATTGTACTTGCAGGAAGCACAGTTCCTGGAGGGCCCATTGGAGGCCAGACACGAGTGAGCCTGAGAAACGAGCACATGCAGTACATCATCACCTGGTAAGTTACCCAGGCAGCATGGGGCTGACCTTCCACAAGTTTCTTTTGCATGTAAAGCTCTGCCTGGCATTCTGGCTCCCGCATCAGTGCAACTGCATGAGCTCTTAAGCTGTAATAGTCTGAAGGTTTAACCCAAGTAACATCCTCAAGGTGATTTGAAGTAATTATGGGTTTTGCACTGCAGCAGACTTAGGAAGGTCCAGCTCATCTGGAAAAGGTGTAAATGCAGTTTTCTTTCATAGGTATGGCTTATGTGCTGCAACTGCATTCCTGTGGTACAGAAAATTTGTACAGAAGATACCTCTATGAGGGGAAGAGCAAGTCTCTTCTGTACTGCAGTCAAGAGCAGACTTTTCTGGAAGATAGCAGTCCGATCAGTCCTGAGGAACTGCAGCACAGTTTTAGGGCAACATGTGCTGTAAAGGTGCACAGCTATCAAGCTGCAAATAAGACTTTAAGTAACAGATGCAGACTCTAAGCTCCTGCCAGCATTATATAGCTGCAGCTTGGATGCACTGAACTTGAAAGCATCAGTTGAGACTTCCAGGGAAGCTGGTTTACACATTAATCTTAAGGATACATGTTTCTTTTGTGGCTGGTGGTAAGCTACAGCATTTTAACTTCTCCATATCTGTACCTTCCAAAAGATGGAATGGTTTCTTCACAGAGTCAGGAGTGGTTCATAGCAGTTGCATCAGAATAAACAAAGACGGATTTCATGTGCTTGCGTTGTGACTTCCATTGTGCAGCTTGCATCCAGTGACTGAAAGAACAGCTATTGCAGATGCTCAAGTCGAGGTGAGTCAGGCAGCCTGGGGCTTTGCAAAAGCATGCTGAGGGCTACTGAAAACAAGCAGCAGCTCCCACAGCTATAGCCTTGTAAAACAGGGCAGCCTCCCACAATACCAAGAGACCAAGTCATCAGGGAGGAAAGAGCACAGGGTGATCTAGACTTCCCCCTGCTTTCAGCCTGCCTTCCCTGGCCATTCCTGCCCTGGCAGAGGCATGAGACACCTCCCCATATGAGGTGTCTATCTGGTTAGTATGCTAAAATGAAGTATCACCCTTTATCACCCATAATGTAACCCAGTTGTAAGTACTAATGGAGATGTCCTGGAGCAATTTTCAATTGAGACACACTTGCATATGCAAGCTGGACTTAAAGCCAAAAGCAGCCCAGCACATTCAACTGTATGGTCACAGAGTACATGTAGCGAAGCTGCTGTAGATGAACTGTGTTAAAGAACACAAATCACTACAGAAGACTAGTAGTTAAGAGCAGTTGTTCCAAGTACCTGCTCCATACTGCTGTTTGTGTGGCCCTATTCAATCATTTGATGAAGGCAAACAGAGGTAAGGCAAAGCCACTGTGCTATTACCCACTGCCTGAACACTGCCGTTAACAGAGACCACCAAAACTGAATCTGAGTTTTTATTCTTTTTATGTACAGAAAACATGTAGCCATCCAGTACATCTTTAACCCAGCTTAGTAGCCAGTTCTTTAGCCTTTGCTTTTTCAAGCTTAGCAATGCGAGCCACCGATTTTGGACCCAAAACATTACCACCCCAGTGACGCCGGATCTGCAAAGAAGCAAGAACAAGTTAGATACCCTATACCACCTCTTACTGCACCATTCAACCAACCTGCTCAATTCCACTCCTTTTTGCACAAATGGAAGAGCTCCCTCAACTAGGAAGTCTTACACATTTCAAGCCATGAACTAAATTTCTGGGCAGCACAGAGATACTAGAGTTGAAAAGTCTTTCCCAAGAATGGTGCTGGATTCAGCCATCATGTAATTTCTGGACTCGGGATGGAGTCAAGCCCAGTGGAAGCTGCTGCCCTCACTACAATCCTAGCCCTGTGATAGCTCTGTTGGCTTCTAACTTGGTGACAGTATTCATGTTTACCCTGCTCTGAGGCAAAGAATCTGCACGCATCATAAGCGAATCTTGCTACAACACACCAAACAGGCTTTAAGTTGATGTCACTATGTCTGGAATAAAATAATCTGCGTTTCACTAGGAAGCTTTTGGGATGTTAACAGTGTAAGACGAAAGGGACGGCTAGCAGCACAGAGAATCTTACCTCATCATATCTGTCATTGTAATTAGTCTTGACAGCCTCCACCAGCTTTGCAAGGGCTCCCTTATCCTCCCTGTTGGTGACAATTTTAGTTCCTTTAGAGCCTCTATTTAACATTTTCCATAAATCATTTGCCTCAGCATTTAAAACTCATAGTAGCAATGTGGTTTTTCAGGTTAAGCATCACCTGCAAAGGCTTAACCACTTCACCTAGCAATACTTCAGGAACCTGCACTGCTCAGGTTAAGGTTAGTAGTTTCATCTATGGATTTTCAGAGTAACCATTCATTTTGGTAAACCAAAATAATCTGCGTTTTCAAGGTCCAGTAATGTTCTTCAGGCAACAGGACATACGTATTCGATGTTACAGAGGTAACAGTTTAGGTTTACTATTTTATACTAGACGGACACAGGTTTGATATCCACTTGCCCTACAGCCTGTGCCTACGGACAGTCTGCTTTCAACCACAGAGAATCACTTAAGATCACAGAACACTTACGGGTTAACTTGGGTGAAAGCAATAGAGGTACACGTTTTCCTGTGGACCAGTCGCCCCAGTCTGGCTTTGCCCTTGATGATGCAGTAAGGCACTCCCATCTTGCGGCACAGGGCTGGCAAGAAGACCACCAGCTAAAAAGAAAAGGAGCATGCTGGAGAACGGAAGGAGAACATCTGTCTGTTCTTTGGATCAGCTTGGGCTGTGGCAATTGCTCAGGGTTAAAAAGCTCGTTTTGCTCTTCACTATTAATTCAGGTGAAGAAATTCACACATCACTGCAAGGGCCAAGCCTCATTGTAATATCAGGACAACTACAAACATGCATATGCATTCCAGTGCTGGTAAATATATTTTATGCACTCCCTTTTCACACAGTATGTTCTAAAATGCATTTTCACCCAAGTCCAGTTCTGACCTCAGCCTGGGTTACACGGGTAGCCTGTAAGATGTACTAGATGAGTACACATACCTCAATGGGGTCTACATCATGAGCAATAACTACAAGCTGGGCCTTCTTGTTCTCCACCAGAGTTGTGACACTGTTAATACCTGAAAAACAAGGAATAGGTAACCTTCACTCAGTCCATTTATAAGAGCTTTTATGTCAGCCTCATAGAACCAGCTCAGACTCCATAGCAGATTCATTACAAAAGTTATGAAAACTTTCCACATCCACTCAGAAGATATTTCCTGGACAATCTGCTAAAGCTCAGGGTTAAAAAGCTCGTCTATTTTCCTCTTCACTTTGAGATCAGGTGAAGAAATTCATACATCATTGCAATAGCTTGTCCAGTCCTGCCTGGCTGAAGCAGAGACTTTTTAGAGTCTCAAGTCCATGTACAAAGTTACCTGCTCGGAGAACTGGTGGCCGCTTAGTCGGAGCATCTCCCTTTCCTGCAGCTTTCTGCTCAGCACGAGCCAGCAGCCTCTGCTTCTTCTCATGCTTGTTTTCTGGCCTGTATTTGTGTGCCAGCTTCAGAAGCTGCGTAGCTGGAAGAGAACATCCACTGGTCAGCTGCACAGCCCAAAAAGCTAAGCATTACTTTTTAAAATACTGAAATGCATCAATGATCTTGGTAGTTGTCATCAAGTGTATTTAGACAGCAAAAGGTCAGCATCATCTGCACAGTGCAAGAATGGAGCACCTCCAGAGCACCTATTTACCTCTATATGCACCTCTGCTGTCAATGAGCTCCTTCCTTCACCCTTTGGATGAGTAAATGCCTGTGGACCCCCTCAGCAATTACAGTTAAATGTGGTGCACTTTCTCCTTTAAAGCAAGCAACTTCTATTACAGCATCTATGAAGAAATTGCTCTACATAGGTCAGAAATTTCTTGCATAGACACTAGCATTTGGAAAAAAACTATTTACTTCAGAAGTAAATAGTTCACACAAGACACTGAAGCCCTGTTTCAGTGTCAGCCTGCAAGATGCCAGCACTCCCCCAAGGCCTGTACACCCACACATTGCTCTAACTACACGTTTATTCAGATGAAGAACTGCAGGCGGTTCTGCAGCAAGCTGGAAGAATGGCCTCCTATGGAAACATGCAGTTGAGACAACCCTGGGTTTGCATCCTTAAGTGGGAGCTTTGGTATTTTCTATATCCCTTTTCAAGGTACACAGCAGCCATCAAGACTTAAGCCAGCAAATTCAGACAGCAGCTTGGTACGACATCACGCCTACCACTATTAAAGCCTCCCTAAAATGCTTCCAAAGATTCTCCCCAGCTTACCTTAGTTACGTCTTATTTCGGTTTCTTTCCTCCTCTGAAGCACATCCCATCAATGACCCAGGTCAAGACAACTGCATGTGGCACATCCTTACCTGTCTGGCGGTCCAAAGCCTGAGTGAACTGGTTAATGGCAGGAGGCACCTTCAAGCGCTTGTAAAGGATGGACCTCTGGCGCTGCAGCCTGATGTAGCGCGGCCATTTCACAAAACGCGTGAGGTCCCGCTTTGGCTGGATATCCTGTCCTGGAAACACAGAACCCTTTAATGCACAGCTGTTCCACAGCCATAGAGCAGCAGCATGGAACAGGCACGAGTGCATCAGAGATCTTGGTGGTGATATGTCAGCATTATCATTCAGATAGCAAATATTCTTTCACATCATCTGCACACCGTACAAAGATGGCACTACCGAAGTCTGAACTGAGTTACGATACTACATGCAAAAAGGAGAGATTAATCCCAATAGAACCATGGAATGAATCCAGGCAGTACAGAAACAGCACACTGGCCATAACCACCCATCACATAACTGCCCTAATGAAGGGCAGCACTTAACTGCAGGCAGCAGTGCCTTTATCATTGTCTCCACTCTCACAGCTTTATTACAGTACATGCCTGTTTACAATTTCGACATCTATTAACAAAATCCCCTGTTGACAGAGTAGCCCAAACGCTCACTTACCAATGCCAAAGTTCTTGGGCCTCTTCTCAAAGAGGGGATTGACGACTTTTTTGGCCTCCTGCTTCTTGACTACAGCAGGGGCTGGTGCCACCTTCTTGCCCTTTGCCTTCTTTCCTTTCGGCTGCAAGAAACAAACACACCCCTTTCTTCTTGTCCTTCCAATACTTGTGTACTCAAGAGCTTTCAGTCCCCCAGAAATGCATTTCTCCAGCCCGGCAGCCTCCAGCCCAGCCGTACCCTTCCAGAGAGAGCAATCCTTTCCCTTTGGCTTCAGAAGGTTTACGAGCCTCCCTGCTAGAGCCACCGTTTAAACCCGCGTGCTGACCCCCTCCGCCGCGCAGCCTCTGGCGTTCCGCAGTCCTGCGCTCCCCCAAACGGCCCACCGCGAGCCCGGGATCAGCCACGCACGGGGAGAAACGATGCGGCCCGAGCCGGGCCAAGTCCCGAGTCCCTGCGCTCCGCGGCGGGCGAGGAGGCCCAAACTGGGCCTTCCCCGGACCAGCCCCGCTTACCGCGAGCCGGGCACGCGCACCGCTCCACCCCCCTCGCCAGGCTACCGAACACCCGCGCGGTCCTCCCCGCCGGGCCGCGGCGCAGCGGCGGCGGCGGATGGCGGCGGATGGCGGCCGATGAGCCCTGCCCCGCCCCGGCGGCCGCTCACCATCTTGGGCTGCGAGAGAGAAGGGAGGAGCAGCGCCTGCCGGGAAGTATCTGCGGGGCGCGACGTCTCGCGAGAGGACGGCGGCACGCGGGGGGAGGCGGGGCGCGGCGCGGCGCGGGGCCCGGTCCGGCCTGTCCCGCCATGTCGCAGGCGCGAGCGCTGCCGCAGAGCAAGGAGACGCTGCTGCAGTCGTACAACAAACGGCTCCGCGACGACGTCAGGTCCATCCTGGACAACTTCACCGAGATCGTCAAAACGGCCAAGGTGCGGGGGGGGGGCGAGCGGGGCCCTGCGGCCCGCGGCAGGGCTCGGGCGTGACGGCGGCCGTGTGCGCCCTTCTCTTTAGGTTGAAGACGAAACTCAAGTCTCTCGAGCAACCCAGGGTGAGCAGGACAACTACGAGATGCACGTCAGAGCTGCCAACATTGTGAGTAGTGCACCGGTGGGCAAAGCGGTGGGCAGGGGCTGTTGGGAGCACTGTTGTTGGGAGCACTGTTGGGTGCACTGTTGTTGGGAGCACTGTAGCTGGGTGCACTGTAGTTGGGAGCACTGTAGTTGGGTGCACTGTTGTTGGGTGCACTGTTGTTGGGTGTACAGTTGTTGGGTGCACAGTTGTTGGGTGCACTGTTGTTGGGTGCACTGTTGTTGGGTGTACTGTTGTTGGGTGCACTGTTGTTGGGTGCACTGTTGTTGGGTGCACAGTTGTTGGGTGCACAGTTGTTGGGTGCACAGTTGTTGGATGCACTGTTGTTGGGAGCACTGTTGTTGGGTGCACTGTTGGGTGCACTGTTGGGAGCACTGTTGTTGGGTGCACTGTTGGGTGCACTGTTGTTGGGTGCACTGTTGTTGAATGCACTGTTGTTGGGTGCACTGTTGTTGGATGCACTGTTGTTGGGTGCACTGTTGTTGGGTGCACTGTTGGGTGCACTGTTGTTGGGTGCGCAGTTGTTGGGTGCGCAGTTGTTGGGTGCACTGTTGAGTGCACTGTTGTTGGGTGCACTGTTGTTGGGTGCACTGTTGGGTGCACTGTTGTTGGATGCACTGTTGTTGGGTACACTGTTGTTGGGTGCACTGTTAGGAGCACTGTTGTTGGGTGCACTGTTAGGAGCACTGTTGTTGGGTGCACTGTTGGGAGCACTGTTGTCGGGTGCACTGTTGGGAGCACTGTTGTCGGGTGCACTGTTGTTGGGTGCACTGTTGTTGGGTGCACTGTTGGGTGCACTGTTGTTGGGTGCACTGTTGTTGGGAGCACTGTTGGGTGCAGTGTTGGGTGCACGGTTGTTGGGTGCACTGTTGTTGGGTGCAGTGTTGGGTGCACTGTTGGGTGCACTGTTGTTGGGTGCACTGTTGGGTGCACTGTTGTTGGGTGCACAGTTGTTGGGTGCGCAGTTGTTGGGTGCGCAGTTGTTGGGTGCGCAGTTGTTGGGTGCACTGTTGGGTGCACTGTTGTTGGATGCACTGTTGTTGGGTGCACTGTTGTTGGGTGCACTGTTGGGTGCACTGTTGTTGGGTGCACTGTTGGGAGCACTGTTGTTGGGAGCACTGTTGGGAGCACTGTTGTCGGGTGCACTGTTGTCGGGTGCACTGTTGTTGGGTGCACTGTTGGGTGCACTGTTGTTGGGTGCACTGTTGTTGGGTGCAGTGTTGGGTGCACGGTTGTTGGGTGCACTGTTGTTGGGTGCACTGTTGGGTGCACTGTTGGGTGCACTGTTGGGTGCACTGTTGGGTGCAGTGTTGTTGGGTGCAGTGTTGTTGGGTGCAGTGTTGTTGGGTGCACAGTTGTTGGGTGCACAGTTGTTGGGTGCACTGTTGTTGGGTGCAGTGTTGGATGCACTGTTGTTGGGTGCACTGTTGTTGGGTGCACTGTTGTTGGGTGCACTGTTGGGTGCAGTGTTGGGTGCACTGTTGTTGGGTGCAGTGTTGGGGGCACTGTTGTTGGGTGCACTGTTGGGTGCACTGTTGGGTGCACTGTTGTTGGGTGCACTGTTGTTGGATGCACTGTTGTTGGGAGCACTGTTGTTGGGTGCACTGTTGGGTGCACTGTTGTTGGGTGCACTGTTGGGAGCACTGTTGTTGGGTGCACTGTTGGGTGCCCTGTTGTTGGGTGCACTGTTGGATGCACAGTTGTTGGGTGCACAGTTGTTGGGTGCACTGTTGTTGGGTGCACTGTTGTTGGGTGCACTGTTGTTGGGTGCACTGTTGGGTGCACTGTTGGGTGCAGTGTTGGGTGCAGTGTTTTTGGGTGCAGTGTTGGGTGCACAGTTGTTGGGTGCACAGTTGTTGGGTGCACTGTTGGGTGCACTGTTGGGTGCACTGTTGTTGGGTGCACTGTTGTTGGGTGCACTGTTGGGAGCACTGTTGTTGGGTGCACGGTTGTTGGGTGCACAGTTGTTGGGTGCACTGTTGGGTGCACTGTTGTTGGGTGCACTGTTGGAGCACTGTTGTTGGGTGCACTGTTGTTGGGTGCACAGTTGGGAGCACTGTTGTTGGGTGCACTGTTGCACCTAGGGCAGCCTTTATACCGCTCACAAGGACTGCTGCTAGCTGGCCGTTGAGTTGGCTGGGGAAGGCAGGGTAGCCTGGCTTGTCAGCTGCCGGCTTCTGTCAGAGTCCTCATTGAATGTGGGATTTTTTACTTTATTCAAAGCTTGGGCTGAACGAGCAGCTTAGGGGATCTTGGTTTAGAATTGGAGCAAAGCACTGTTTTGATATGCTGTGGTTTTTCTTTCTGCTACAAGGTCCGAGCTGGTGAATCCCTGATGAAACTTGTGTCTGACCTGAAGCAATTTTTGATCCTCAATGATTTCCCCTCTGTGAATGAAGCTATCAACCAGCGCAACCAGCAGCTGAGAAGCTTGCAGGAGGAATGTGACAAGAAATTGATTGCACTGCGGGATGAGATCTCCATTGACCTGTATGAGCTAGAAGAAGAATATTACTCGTCCAGGTACAAATAGGGCAGTGGGCTTCTGCCTCATGACTCCATGGGGTGGTTAGTCCACACAAACAAGTAGTCCTTAAAGTACAGGTCTTGAGAATGTTCCCAGCAAAACTTTACTCCTTTTTTTAATTAGGTCAAACTTTTTCTGCAACTAAACTGCCTTTTGCTTGTGGATACCCTACAGAGTATGAATATCATAGGGAAGGAGGTGTTCACAGTATCCAACTCTAGGTCCTTGCTGTATTTGGCTAGATTTGACAGATAATCTGCTTAGGCTTCCTTTGTAATCATTGTAAAAAGAGATGAATTTCCTTGGGAGTATAGACTTCTGTCTGAGTATCCCTCTGAAGGAGCCTCTGTCTCCAGAGAGGCTAGGTTGCTGAGCTGGGTTCTAATGTTAGAGGAAATCAGCACGTCCTCATGGTGAGTGTTTTCACAAGTGACCTGGTCACACAGTGTGCCTTTTTCCCTATAGTCCCCGGCCTCCTGGAGTCCTGTGGGGGTGAGCGGGTGAGCACTTGAAACGAACATAAGAGACTTGCTCGGTTTCATTGAATAATGAAGCGTTGTGATGGGATTTTCTACGGAATAACAAATTGTTACTGATTTGTGGGATTTTTAATATTTTTAAAATACTCTTACTTAGAAAACAGGGTTTAGAGGATTTAGACACACTATCTTTTTATCTTCTGTCATGCACTCCAGCACTTCTAGTTGATGATGCAGTGAAGTGGGAGAAAGCAACTGAGAACCTGATTAATTCGGCTGTACTGTCTGAGCTAAGCAAAGTCAGTGCAATAATGCTATGCCTTCCAAACAAAGACTTAGCTTTTAAAAACCTTACTTAAAATTTTAATGCACAGGATTTCTATTTTTACCTTTCCCTTCTTTCTAAAAATGCCGAATGCCTGTTACCCCAGCTAAGGCAACTAAACCTTAATTGCTCAATATTTTTGGAAGTTAGGCCATTGGTTTTGAGTAATGTATGTATTTTAAGAGTAAAAAGATGTTGATATGACATAGCTTAGGAACTGCTATGACATTGGAAGAGAACTAGAGGTAGATGTTTACAGTTGTTTTTCAAACTTTGGTCATTCTTGGGTGGAGGGGGAGCAAGAGATCCTGGAAACAGCACAGCAATGAAGAGTGACAGTCGCAAACCCACACATCAGCCCAGGCTCTGATGGGTCAGTGGTGCATCCCCTACACATGCTGTATCCACACAACAGTGTGACATGCTGTGGCTGATAGTGCCTCGCGTGTGCCAGATGTCACCATGCTGTCACCAGACTGACACTGCTGTGTGTCAGTAGCTTTGACTTTTGGCTTAGGGGGTTGTGGCCATGCTGGCATAGTCTGTTCACCTGCCTGGCACCAGCTGCTGTGTAAAGCGACCCTTCGTAACAGAACTGTTGTCTAAGAACAAGTGTTGGCATACACCAAATGGATTTGCCTTTGTGTTCTGTCTTGTAAGAGTGGTCAGGAGGTGAGGAAACTCTGCAGCTCTGCAGAGCTGTGATCTGAAACTTTTGTCATGTAGCACTTAGCACTTGTTCCTTTCCTGTGCTCTTTCCTGTCTTTTTCTGCACCAAAGAAATTGTACGTGTGTAAATATAGAAATAGTAATTTATTTAAAGTCCTTTTATAATTGGGGTATTAAGATATTTTTAATGAAACTTTAATGTCTAATGTGGAGAAAAAGGGTTTCTGTTATGTCACATAGTCGTAGAGTGATAATCACATTCAAATGGCTGTAGTAGCTGGTTTGCCCACAGACACACATTCTGTGTGGTCCTGGGAGCCCAGCTGCGATTGTCTCTTTGCACCATCTGTTACTTCCTCATGGATCCTGAGTCCACAGGATCTCCTTAAGAGGTGTGCAGTCCCATGAGGCCCAGCCATGGGTTCTACACAGGCATCCTTCCAGCCTTTCTCCCATGTGCCCGTGCCCCTGAAGGTCACTGGTTTATTTTAGGTTGTTCCTCCAGGGGAGGCTGCAGCAAAGCGAGCTCCCTGCAGCCGCATAGAGCTGCCCCAGGCTGCGGAGCTTTGTTCTCTGTGCTCTGTTCCTGACCACTGTGACAAGCCTGTGGAAGGGAGTGTCTCCTGTCCAGGTCTGTCACTGTCATTGTGCTAAAGGGGCTTAGGAGGCAGGCCCTTGCCATAGTAAGCAACTAACAGGATGTGTTGCAGTTGTACGGCCAGGTTTCACTGCTAGGCTTTTATTGCATACATGAGGGTTTTGATGAGGAGACCTGAAAGCAGGTCTTTGAAACTTAAAGATTGTTCTGAAGGAATCTTTGCTTTCAGTTCGTGTGCTCAGGCAGTTTCCTAAAGATGCTTCTCAGGAGTTTCTCTGCGCATAGACCTGGCTGCATGCCTCGAGGGGGGTAGTGAAGTCCCTTCCATGCACTGAGAAGACCTCAGTCAAAGGACAGAGTAGCAGTGGGCTACGGTGAGCAGTAGCTGCTTGTTGACCCTAACTTTTGAGGAGCATAAGGTGAGAGGTGAAGCTCAGACTTTTGGAATTGTTCTATCTCAAGTAGCAGGAGAAGTGGTTATGCTTCTGATGGAGCTAGAATGTTGTTAGTAACTCCCCTGCCCATATGGGGTGGATGCTGTGACCGGGTTCTCCTGGGAAAGCCTGGCCTGAGGTCTAAGGCTGACAGAAGAATTGTAGTTCTGGTCGGGTCCTGAAGGTCTTTGCTAGTTGAACTCAGCTGCACTGTGTGTTGGGGGCTGTAGGGAAGAGTGATCTTCTAAGGGATTTTACAAAGGCTCCAGGTACAAAACCTGCATCCACTGCTTTCCCACTTCTACTGCAAACCTGGTCGACGATGCTGCCAGAAAAGAGCTTAGAGTTAGATGCTTGCAACTCGTGCTTTGTGTGCTTATTCCCCAAAGCGGTAACTCCAAGCCCAGCTTGCCTTCTCTCATCCTCAACCCCAAACCTGCATTTATGTTCCATTGTTCCCATCTCTGGGACCATGGAGTCCGTCTTGAGTGTGGGGTTAGATCTCAGCACGTTTCATGCTTGTGCAATTTGAAGTGTCTCGTATTTCTACACTTAAAATATTTCCTGAAGCATCTATTCAAGTCCATACATTAAAAATGTAAATAAAGCTGCAACAACAAAATCACTTGACCCACTGGGTTTGTTTTACTCTGAACACAAGCTGCTTTCTGCTCTAGCACTCATTTTGTCTTGGGTGTCTCCTATGTGTGCAGCTTCTTCCTCTGAGGAATTGTTTTGGTTTTGTTGTGGTTTCTTCCGTGATTTTCCTTTATAGTTTTGGCCTTTCCACCTTGTCTTTTTCTCAGAGCACAGACCAGAGTTAGCCAGTTCTGTACAAAACATCCCTTCCCACAGTGCTGGCTTACCCGGCTCCACAGTCTGCAGTGGGCAAACCCAGCAGCTGCTTTTAGCAGTTCTGTTGGCTCAGGTTCTGCTGAATAGGAGCCTTCAGTACCTTGTGGTCTGGGCAGCTTCGAGAGAAGACCCAGAGCTGCTGCAGAGCTTTTCTGAAGAGGTGTGCATCAGTTCCTTCTGTGTCATGACAGGGAGAGACCCTAAGCCAGCAGTGCTAGGGGTGTTTTCTGTACTGAAATTTAGAGCAAGATTTGGTATTTTTTCCTCACTTAGGTTGTGATCTAATTCCAAGTAAAATAATGATGGTGTGGTCCTTGCCTCACTCAGACTAGTAGCAGGATTCCTATGGGGTGCCAGAACTTCAGTCCATATGTTTTCAGGGGCTTGGAGCATCTGGACTGGAGTTGAGCTCTGTTTCAGTTTGTAGCAATGATTCTGTCTCTGAAGTTCCCCTGATCTCACCAGACCCATCAGGTTCAAGACCAGCCCTGAGCAGGTGTCCTAGGGAAGGCGGGTGTCACAAGGCTTGTGATGAATTCCAGAGCCCGGGCCTGGCATCTAGGAGCCATGTTTTAAGATTTTCTCAATGCTTTGCTTCTGTCCTGCTCTCCCTTGCCTGCCCCTCCTCCCCCCCCTTACTGCACTGCTGCCTCTCCTTACTGGGTTGTTTGTTCTGTAAAGCTACAGTCTGTGTGACAGCAACGACCTCCCGCTGTGCGAAGCCTACTGGGGACACGACTTTGCCACGCTGTCTCCTGAAAGCCTCTCCATGCCTCTGTCGGCGGCTGTAGCAGAGCAGAGCGCGGCCGCCGCGCAGAGCTCCGCCCCAGCGCCCCCCTCCGGCCACGGGCATGGCGCAGGCCCCGCCGAGCACTCCTGAGGAGCATCCCCTGCCGCTGCGCGCGTGCCTCCAGCGCTCTGTGCTGCTGGAAGTCTTCCACCTGCTGAGCTGAAGAGCGTCGCCCATGGGCAGGAGAAGGCACTGGAGCTGTGTTTGCAGGTAAGTTTCTGCTCCCTGGACAGCTACGGTGCCTTCTCTACCGCAGGACATTGCCAAGAGTGTTCCTCTCCCATAAGAGATTGTTCTAACAAGTTAGAGTCAGGTTTGCTTTTACATGATTACATTATGTGTTGTTACATGTTGTGTTCATTTGATATCCCGTTTGTGTGGATCTCAGTAAGTAAACACTGGAGCGTTGGGAGTTGAATTTTTTGGGGATAAACCTGAGCCAAACCATGAGGCAATGAATGTTTTGGAGTATGTTTCACAAGGTTACGGACATCCTGCTGCTTTAAAACTCTCAGGATGGCATCCATCAGCCTCTGTTCTCTGCACAGGACAGTAAGGACCTTGCAGTGTTTCTTACACAGCAGGCTTCAGTGTCCAACTTGCTCACAGCCATTTGGGAAGATGCTCTCAGGAGGCCCTTACCAAGGACCAGTGTACTCCCTTTGAAGTGCAAAGGGCACATAGGAATGGGGTAGGTCCCGGTGATGCCACCTGTCGAGGCCACTGGCAGGAGCAATGGCAGGCTCTGATTGCTCTGGTTCCTTTCTCAATGTTAACACAGAAAGTTTCTATTAACGCTGTGTGAGCTACCCGGACGCTGGTGTTTGTGTTGCCAGCACTGTGTCTAACTGGGCAGTGGGGTGTGCAGAGCAGGGTGGTTCTGCTCTTCCTCTCGTGCTTTCCTCCCAGGTCGGCAGCCTTCCCCTCGGGCCGTGCTGAGCCCGCGGAGCCCGGCTTCTCGCGCCTGCAGCGCTCTGCCCGGGCCGCCTTCCTGAGCGCGTGCGTTTTGGTTTTCCTTCATTCCATTTGTTTTTGTAATTCGGTCACTCAATAAAGCTCTTTTGTATCCTCTGCCACGCGTGTGTTTTAACCGGCCTCCTGGAAACACGGCCGTGGTGAGCGGGCGCCGGGAAGCTCCGCTCCGGCCGCAGCGCGCCGCCGGTACCCCCGTGTCCGCCAACGCCGCGCAGGCTGCGCGCGCTGTCCCGCGGCCCAGCCACGACCAATGCGGTCCCGCCGCCGGCTCGCTGTCGTCACTTCCTGCTCGGCGCGGGCTGAGGTCACGTCCTGCCGGCGGGGGTGCTGAGGAGCCGCGGCGCCGCTATGGGCAGCCTGGCCGCAGGGCCGAGCATGGCCGCGCAGGACTCGTACTTGCAGGGCCTGGCCAGGAGGGTCCGCGCGCAGCTGGCGCCGGAGTCGCGGAAAAGGAAATTCGGTAACGGACCGCAGCGGTTCACCCCCTGCCGCTCCGGGCCGGTGCGCGGGGCCTGGCTCCTGACAGCCGTCCCTTTCTCCGCGGGTGCTTGGCCCAGGGGAGGCTGATGTGCCGGTTTGTAAGGAACAAGCCCCATAGTTTGTGCTGCAACACGGGGCTCCTGAGCACTCTGCGGTGTTACCCAGGGGAAGCAGTGGTCTCCGCTCACTTTATACACATGGCGATTGGATGGGGGGAACTGGGACTTCACTGAAGTGTACAAGCATGTTATTGGGCTATTAAAATAAACCCTATAATATGTAATTTTTAAAGGTTTAGAAATGCCATTGAAATACTGGAACTTCAGCGTTCAGTAATATCTTGACATTGTGAAGTGGGAATGTTTTGCTTGTTTGCGTGATTTGGTTTTGTCTTCTAGTGCCTCAGCCAGGGCAGTCTGAGGATGCTGGCAGGCAGATCAAGAAAAAGAAGAGAAAGAAACCCAGGAAGCAAGCTGAGAAGGTGAACACGCCTTCAGTCAAACAGACGGTCTCTAACGCAAACAAACCTGCTCCAGGACAGAGGGCAACTCCTCAGCCCAGCAAAGCATCTCCAGACAGTGCTGCGCAGAGCAGAAGTGAGAGCTTGGTCACAGGTGAGAATGCCAGCATTGCCATGGTCAGGTTAAAGTGTCGTGAGCTGAGGTAGCTGCTTTTTGGTTGCTTCACACACACGTGTAGTTCAGAAAGCCCTTAAAAAGTTCATCTGAATTGAAGACATCTTGGCTTATTTCATGTGTCCTCAAAACTGTTGTGCACATACAGAAATTGGGTGGCTCTTGGGAAAATGTGCTTAGCCTGAGCTGCACTTTTAGTGTATCTGGTAAGTCTCTGCTGCAGTCTCTGCCGTGCCGGCTCAGCTTTCCATTGACAGCATAAAAAGCCTGGTCACCAAGAAAACATCAGTGTCTTAGTTTCCACCAGCCAGGTACTTGTCTTCTGACAGCCACAGAGAATGCCAGGCTGTGTCTAAATGACAATATGGGTAGAAAAAGGGGAATTAATTCTAAAGAAACCAAAGAAATAGAAACTTTTGGCTTGTTTAGATTTTCCATTCTGTTCACAGCATCTGCAGAGTTCTCAGAGCTTTTTCCATAGCCACAGAAAGTTCTGCTTAGTTAGTGCTGTCATTTAAGTCTGTTTTCTTCCTCTTGTTTTCAGGGAGCAAAAGTGATCTGGATTCCCCTTCCTTTTCTGCGATAAATCTCTTGCGTCAGAGACTACATGAGAAGATTAAAAAAGCTTCTGGACAAGTATGAGAATTCTTTAACATGTATCCATACATGTGTTAATGCAATAGGCATTCTCCCTGGCCTTCCAGGGGTGTGGGGACAAAACTCAGGGTTTGGGCTCTGTCCATGCCCACAGGAAGTGCCAGGGGGTGTTGCTGGGGTGTTCTCTGGTATGTGAGAAGAGCCAGAGCCTGGCCAAGGGAGCAGTGCCCCCAGTGATCCGTAGTAAGAAGAGCACTAAGAGCCTGAAAGGGAGCGTAGCTATAGGGTGTTGAGAGAGGGTAAGGGGTTTGAAACACCTTTACTGTGCTTAGTGTCTCTGAATGCTGAGCCCATGACTTCTTGTCACAAGTCACACATTTCTTGTGAGAGATTTGAAATTGGGAACTTGAGGACTTTTAATTCTGATTTATCCCTGTAAGGCTCCTGATTTATGTCCATCCTCCTTCTTAGGATGATGCCAAAGAATTGTCCCCTGCAGTCCTGGAGAAGAGGCAGCGAAGGAAATATGAGAGAGAGAGAAAGAAGCGTCGAAGAAAGGAGCTGATAATGAAGGCAAAAACAGAGAAGAAAGAAACTGAGGAGGTACCGGTAGAGCCAGAAAGCAAAAAGGAGAGCAAAGCTGAAATCGTCTTCAACAGGGTTGAAGTCCATGAAGAGAATGAGCTGAGCAAGATCCAGAAAAAGAAAGAGAAGAGGAAAGCAGTGAAAGGCAAAATCACTCCTCTGACAGGCAAAAACTACAAGCAGCTCCTGAGCAGGCTGGAGACCAGGAAGAATAAGCTGGAGGAACTCAAGGATAAGGATGAGAAGAAAGCTCAGGAGCTAGAGAACAAGATGAAGTGGACAAATGTTCTCTACAAGGCAGAGGGTGTGAAGATTCGTGACAATGAGGAGCGCCTGAAAGAAGCCCTGAAGCGTAAGGAGAAGCGTAAAGCGCAGCACCAGAAGCAGTGGGAGAAGCGTACAGAAAAAGTCGTGGAAAAGATGCAGCAGCGGCAGGAAAAGCGTCGCAAGAACATTCAGAAGAAGAAAAAAGACAGGATAGAGAAGAAGAAAGCCAGGGCCCGGAAGAAAGGCCGAGTTCTGCCAGAGGACTTGAAAAAAGCTGGCTTGAATTGAGCTCGGGGCTCTGCCAGGTGGGGAGTAACGGGACATGGTCTGTCTGCCTGCCTGCCTGCCTGCAGCTGCGGCCCAAGCAGGCAGTGCCCGAGGAAACCCGGCGGTTTTGTAATAAACTTTGTAATAAGCCAGCCCGTTGTGTCCTTGGCCGTTAAATTTCCTGTCCCCTTCTGGCTGATACATCGCCACCATCATCATCATCATTGTCCCAACGGGGGGTGTCGCTCCGGCGCGGGCGCGGTGCTGGAGGGGGCGCGGAGCCCTAGTGCCGTGGTTGCCCGGGGTGGGGTGGGGCGGGACGTCCCGAGGCCCCGCCCTCCGCGCTGCTATGGCGACGAGGACGCCTCCGCTGCCGCGGCGCGGTGCCGGGGCGCCGCGCGGCGCGGCTGTTGCGCTGAGGGCTTGGCGGCGGCCGGGCCGCCTGGCCGCACAAGGGGCCTTGCTCTTCAGTCCAGGGCCCTCGGACACCGGGAGTCATCGCATACCTTTGGATCACCGGAACGCTCCGCCTGCAGCAGTTTCAGTGGAAGCCATGTAGTTGCCATGTAGTTTTGGCCTGAGTAAAGCCTTTAAACCCTTTGTCCCGCAGCTTCTAAACCTCATTTCTTCTGGAAACAGGCCTGGAAGTTGGCTGCGGGGCCTGCGTGCCAACGGTGGGAGGTGTGCGCCGCGTTCCAGGCAGGGAAGTTACTTAGTATGCTCTTTGGATGAAGTAAGGACTGGGCTAGGTTTCCTATGAAGAGAGGAAGGCTTGCTTAGGTATGGATTCAGAAATTCCTACTGATGCCAAGTTGCTACAGCGTTACCAGCAGCAGGGTGCTGAAAGAGCAGACTACAATGCGTCCACACAGGAGCCACCATTGTACAGGTAGAGAACAGGAGCGTAAAACCCCATTTATGTGTTGATGATTACAGGTATGGAGACTAAGATTTGAACTGGGACTTAGACATGCCTGAATTCTTGGTCACAGCACTAACAACTTGTAAAGGACTGTATAGTGCTGCCTGTTGCAGTGCTCATTAACATGCTAATTTTGCAGTGGCACACACATAGTATGGCTTTTCTTTTAAAAATAAATTGTAGGTCTTTTTTATTCAAAGGAATCCAAACCACACCTGGTTTGATATGTGGTTTTGAACTCTATTTTAGACTATGTTAATGGTTTACATGATGATGAAGTAATGATTATGTAATAAGCAAAAATTAGATCAGTGTGTCTATCCTTTTCACCCTAATCCTTCTGCTGAATAATGACACCTTTATCCTCACTTCCTCTGAGGAGAAACACAGTACCCCAGCTGATGGGAAGAGCAGTGGGCAGATAAAGGCTACTTCCACATTTCTCACTAGAATCTTACTAAACAGTTCATAGATCTTTATACCTTTTAAAGATAGCATGTATATCTTTGTAGTTTGCACGTCTAGCATTTATTGCTTTTGTGCCATCACACCAGTTTGGATCTTGTGATCAACATAGGCTAATTCTTCAGTTCATCTCAGAAGAAGGAACTTTGAATCTTTGAATCATATTTTTTGAAATTAGAACTATGCTCATGTTCACTTAAATGTTACATTTTGCCAATTACATTG